ATTAAGTAAATCTTCAGTGGAATATGATGTCGCAAGAGCTTTCAATATCTCTAAACTGACATTTTCTCCTTATATTTCAGATAAAACTATATAACATTATAGAAATTTCTCAAATTCAAATCAACAATGGCTATGCCACAACTTAATTCAAATCTAGTTGCAGTACAAATAGATCCTTCAGACGAGCCTGCCGGTGAAGAGCGCGTTCAAGGTGCTGAAACAAAACCATCTTTACCTGAATCCAGGCTTGCTAAATTCAAATTTCAAAAGCCAGGAGTTTGTCAGGAGATTCGTGTCTCCAAATCAGGAGAAAAAAAAATAGGAGATCGCGTTTTAAAGTTCGATAGCTCTTCTACGGTTTTTCTCTGATAAGCGTCAACTTTTTGCTCGTATGCGTGCATTTTCCTTTTCCAAATCGAAATCGCAGTGAAGAAAAATTTTCTTATAGGTGAATTAAGATCAAAGAATAATATTCAATAAAAAATATGTATAATCAATTGACTGAACTAGGCGTGACTGAGACCCATTGGATTGATCTCGGTCCTGAACTAGGCATCCATTGGGGTTTCGGTAAGCTTCGGTTTAAAGTCAAGAACAGTTTGGATCCTCAAGATCCTAACCGCATGACAAATCTAGATTATGCTAGTCAACGAATGAAAAGACATCAAAGAAGGCGTCTTCAGAATAACTGTCCGATTTCAATTAAATCTTTCCTCTCAGTAGAAAGACCATAGAGCAAATAAAAGCATTTCTATGAGGATCAACACGATGGTTGTAATGCAAGGCATCTTATACTGATTAGTTTTTTGAAGCATTCGAAATATATTATGACTTTTATGCCATCAAATGCCTAGTTTTCAGGTTTTTAGATTGACAACCCTATAAAACTATAATCAATGTATTTTTTGACTATCAAATTAATAATCTAATCTAAAATCCGAAAAGTTCTAAGCGGCTTTCTAAAACAAGCTTTTAAATTGAAAGTTATGAAACAAAATTTCTACTAATAAGATCAGCATCGGAACTGACTAGGTTTGGAATTGCATAGAAAAAACTCATTAAACCACGTTTAAGTACGCCCTCGACAATCTTGAATCAAATGCACTCTCGTTGTGATTATGAGACGTTTAGAAAATGACTGTGCTTATATGATGATCGAAGTTATTCCACAGGGTATCGCTGATTTAGAAGATAACCATTAAACTATGTACAAGTATCATAAATTTTCAATTTAATCTTTGAATTAGTTCCCATTGAATCATGTCTCATTCTATTACTAATCTCCTCTCATACATCAGTCATTTGACTGAAAAATGCGCCATGATAAAACATTGAATGCCTTTATTGGTTATTATATCCGTTAAACAATGCAGTAGGTCTCTTTCTCTCTTTGAAAAATCTGCTAAATCAAAATGTAGCTAAGCCCCCAGCGAAAATGAAATCAGCACAAAACAGAAGACTCCTGAAATTCGATTCTTGAATTCAGGAGATTTCTTGTAAGGAAATAGGTAAAAAATCCGAGAGTTCCCTGGCTTGCAATGATTTAAAAATGTAATTGATTGTCAGAATCAAGAAAATGTAAAAGTCAGGAGAAAATCATAAAAATCAGTTCCTGATTTCATAAGATTTTCTATCAGGAGAAAAGCTTCAAAATCAGAAGTTCCCTAATCAAATAAGGAGGTTTCATAACCCTGATTAGAACTGAACTTCCTCTCTTATGATGAGGACATACAGCAGTCATGTTTGGGTCAATTCTATGATTATCGTGGACGCCTTATTGAATGAAGGGTATAAAGGGTATATTGTGATAGCTGATGATAAATTGTTGATGACGCTTTTTATACTTTTCCTATGGATAAGGGCACAATTTTTACCACGTACGTGTCTAATCAAAATCTTTAGTTTAAGAAAGTTTTAGGCTTCTAAATTAAACTAATGGTGAAAGATATTATTAAGATTGCAGTCCGTAAGTTTTAATAATTAGTTTTTACAATATTTTTACATTGAAAATATTTCTCCGTAGTTCTATCAGTATTCAACCTAAGATGTAAAAGTATTGAAAAAATTTTCTTCCGTAATATCTTAGAAGAACTTTGTTCGCTGATCATTGTCGTAAAAATGCTTTTCAAATTTCAAAAGAAAATAGTGGTATCATGGGTGAGATACTGAGTGTTGTGAACTAGCCGAAATGTAAAGACAAATCGATTCTCATATCTCAAAATAGGTATATTCAGGAGTAATGTGAGATATTAAGTTTGTAAAGGAAAGTTTGCTTCACTAAACCCTCTAGTTGGTTATATCCACACAGAGAAATCGGCCGAATAATTGTTGGTGAAATATTGTATAAGATAATTTTGTCCAAAAACATTTGACATTACCTTGTTTTTAGAACAAATATTTTGACTATAGCATCATAGTTTTTACACAAGATTCGAAAAATATCTTTGTTATTCAAAATGATCAATGAGGATAGCTCTAGAAAGTCTGACGTACAAGAGAGTTTTCTAAATTTTTTATGACTTTTTGGTAGACTACTCATAGTACTATACTACAATATGTATTACGAAAATTTATTTATTTCACTCTTACGTTAGTAATGCATTTCACCACCACGTAGTTTTATTTTGAGAGTTGGAACCTTTTGAAATTAAAGGTCTTGATTAGATATCTATGTGGTACGAATTTCAGCTTTATTTATCAAATAAAAATATGAACAAATATCATGAACAATTTATCGTCAACTATTATGACATATGCTTGAGGGTATGAGTCTCTAGCTTGTGAATCACTCAGAAATAGAACCACGCAATATGATTCAACACTAAATAAGAGTTGCGCGAGTACAAGTACGAATAGCACTATGAAATGGCCATCGCCATCACATTCACTACAAGAGGGAATATATTCTCATTTACTCATGAATTTTGTTCGTCATACGTGCTGCAAAAAGATTCAGAATCAGCAGGAGTATATTGACATACACATTTACAGTATATATGACGAACAAAGCACATGTGAGTCTAAGACAATATGGATGTAAATCAAAGTACTAATTATACTTGTATTCGTGCACCTTCACAATAAATTGGGTAATCGAATTTCTGAAGACTTTTCTCTTTTATTATAAGGATGCATGCCAGTCATGTTCAGATTCCCTTCATGGTTATTACGGGTGCTCTATAGAATGAGGTCCATATGTGAAAATCTCCATATTTCGTACGATGCAGAAATAGAATTTCACAAAATGATTGATCAATAAATGGAGTAATCAAATATGAGGCGGGCTTCACCCCACTATTATAAGAATAAGTATTTTTCATGTCATTTGCGATGCTAGAGCACCGGCTGTTCTTTCTTCAAAGACCAGTATAAACTGGTATTTGGAATTTCGTATAAGTTTACAAATCGAACTTGGATATCCGATTCGTCCATACGGCTCTATCGATAATCGCTAAGAATGATTTTAATTTATAAAAGGCAGCAGAGGATATCAATTTGCGCTTCTGGTCCCTAATGAATACATCATCAAGAAAACGGTTGTATACGGTCCGTGAATATAGTATCCAAAAACAGCTTGCGTACACAGTGCATTAAAGTAGTTTATTGTATGCACGTATACGATTGCTGCATTATTATGGTATTCGCGAACAGTAAATATTCGCAGTTATTGTTTCTGGTCGTTTTAAAACCTTGTAAGGTGTTGTTAACGATTGCTTGGAATAAGTACTGTACGCAGTCAATGTAAGACAGCTTTTCACGATGTTTTCATATGTCACATAAACAAGACTTAGCAAATATTGAGTTTCTGTAGTCTTTTATGCTACCCGATAGCATCAAAAAATCTAAGATACAACAGAAATAAAATGGTATTGAAGGTTCTTTGCCCATTTTCGCAACTGTATGAAGGATCAGATAATCTATTCATGTTAAACCTATTTAGAGTCGACTCAAAATCTGACAATGGAGGAGAAACTTCAGAGAGCTTATCACCATGTCACAGAAGTACGTTTATGTGACAATTAATTACTATAATAAAATTGGTGTTGTTCATTGCAGGTCGTTAAGCAGATAAAATGGCACGACGATGATTCGTAAGTTGATACAGCATAAAAATTACAATATAATTGATGATCCTAAACAAATAATAAGTTGTGTTCTCCACATGATAAAAAGTTACTCTCCATGACTTTGAACTGATATTTTAGGCGAGTGTGGCTTACGTTGAATCGTGATCATTAGCACCAGTCTGCTCTTAATCAATTGAGAAACATTCAATTTCTGTATTAGATAATAGCTTCACATCACGAGAGACATATTTCCAATTTTTTAAATATTTATATGCTTTAGTTCTTTTCTTACTCAAAATCGATAAGAAATTACTTTGAAAGAATTGAGCCATGATTTCTCCATTGAACATTAGTATCAAACAAAACTGCCTAGTTTCCAGACTGAACTCTTTAACTCGACGTAGTCTTGACCGACTGAATTGAGACTTCAATATCAAGTCAACATGTGCTCAGAAATCTCTATGGAATTTTTATAATCTTTTGCAGAATGCAAAGTTAGCTTAGAGTTGTTTACTTGACAAAATCTTAACAGTCTAAGGACACAATCTTGAACCGAGGAAAGTAGGGAATACGTACATGAATGTCCTTTAAAAAATGTCCTAGACAAAATGTCCCCGAGTTTTTGTCCTCGGTAAAAATGTCCTCCGAAATTTTGTCCTTTAAAAGATGTCTTCGAATAAAATGTTCTTCGGAAAAATATCCTTCAAAAAAAAGTCCCTCATGTAAAAATGTCCTTCACTTTGAGTCTGATGTATAAAATGAAATTGGGTAAAGATGCAGATGATGCTGTAGTAAGAAAATGTTAGTAACTATATCACTTTCATAGAGGATAAGTTGAGAGCTGAATGAAGAAATAAAGAATGGAAAAAGTTGTTATAGATATAAAGTTGAATACACTGGTATCAGATTCACGAATACGCTTGTTGTATATTTTTAAATGGCATCCATTGATTCGATATTCAGTGATGAAACATCATCATCTTTACCATCATTTTTAACATCAACATCATCATCACTATCTTCATCTTCTTCACCAGTCATTGGACGAGTACAAGTACAGCAAGTACCAGTAAAACTGAAGATACTTAAAAAATGTACTTTGTACTTTACTTAAATACTTTTTACTTGAGTAAATTTCAGTCAGTAGCGGTACTGTACTGAATTGTACTCAAGTACAGTATTTAAGTACATTAGAGTACTTAAAGCCATAATGTAGCGTAGCTGTACATTTAACACATTGATATCGATGTTAGGATGTGTGATACACACCTAACGTCTATAACTTAGCGACATATTAAGGAAAATGTATATGAATAATCATTATCACGATATTTCTATCTCCATTGTCATAAAACAGCCTCGGCATAAATGATCAACATTGATAACCAAGGAAAATTCAAAAGACATGAATTTATAGTGTGTAGGTTTAAATATTATGAATATTATGTAGACATTTCTGAGAATGCAAAGTAGTAATATATTAGAATATGTTGATATCCGGCTAAAGTACATTTTGTACTTAAATACTGGTACTTCAGTAAATGAGTACAAAGTTTTGTACTTCAGTAAAGTCTTTCAGTACAAGTAAATTTACTGATACTGTTAGAATGTACTCAAGTAATCCTGAATACTCAGTAAAAGTATCAAAAATACTCAGTAAAATACTGAGTATCCAATCACTGTTCTTCACCAACATTTTTAACAACATCATTTTCATCTTCACCAACTTCGAAACCAATACCATCATCATCATCCACATCACCTAAACCATCAATCATAAAAACAAAATCGAATAAACGTAGAGCAATGTTATACATTGAAGGATATCAATATCAATTAAAAGATTTTAATAAAAATAAAACAGTTAAATTTTGGCGCTGTGCAAAAAGAGATTGTGGCGTTCATACAATTCATGATTTAATTCAACAAATAAATAGTGGTATGCCACCTCGAACAAAAGATCTCAAACTAGAACTGCCGAACAACGCATGAAAGAACTGTACAATCGATTTAATCAAAGCAAAATTACGGTGCAAGATCTTTTACGTGGTCTTTCTTTTTATGTTGCGAATCAAAAATAAAATAAAAGTTAATCTGCTATAATAAATCAAACACTTAAGTATCACATTATCGTTAACTTTTTTTATGGTTTACTAAAAGGACATTTTAATAATGAAGGACATTTTTTCATGGGACTTTATTGAAAAGGACCATTTTTAAAGGACATTTATAGTAAAGGATATTTATAGTAAAAGACATTTTTTGAAGGACAAAAACTCGGGGACATTTTGTCAAGGATATTTTTTAAAGGCCATTCTTGGCTGTTACCAAAGTAGGTATATATCGTTACATTTCTCACGAAAAAAAGGATAACATTTAATTGTAAAAACGTGAAGATAAAAATAAGAAAATTTTTTGCAATTGAAGTTTTGTTCGAAATATTGAACAAATAGTATATAAAATTTTTATTCGCAGAATTCCCTATTATGAATATGAGTAACACTTACGAATTTATTGGAGATAAATGTTAGATGTCACTATGTTAACCCCATCAATTCGTTTTTGTTGCGCTTCAAGCTTAGAATACGATTGTTTATGCCTGGTCTCTCGTGCGCACAGCTGATCTCCAAAATATTAAGTTCTTTTTAAAAATGGTGCTCTCTTAGGTTTGGCAGACGATTTTCGTGGAAATATCATAGCTCATCTATTTTTAAATAAATTTGTACCAACTCTTATCGGAAGGATTACACTTTGAATGAACAGCGAAATAATATAAAACATTAAAATATGATGGTTGCAATTATTGCGATTCACATTCGTTTAGAATAACCAACCTGAAATGTAATTTATCTGAATTCCATGATCTTCGAACTCTTGAAACTTTTAGAATTCTGGTAATAAACACCAACTAGCCTAACTTGAGATACTTATCCATCACCAATATTTTGTGACACCACCGCTCTCATTTTAGATGCATATGTGTGGTGTCATATTAATTAGTTCATCGAGGGCTTGAATCGCTACTCCGTGGTACTTTTATGTCAGTGTCACATGCTGAAATATATATGTATGTGGTGACCGTAATATATGTCGATAGCATTCGTCTTCTGTATGGCAGTATGTAAACCGATCTGTCTTTTTCTTATCTTTGAAGAGCTTGATAACGTATTGATGTCAATCAATACTTTCAAGAGTTCAAAGTTTTCAAGAATTCAAAGAATTATGCTATGCATAGAATTTTAAGAATTCCGAGAATTGTATAACCGATAAAGATCTCAAGTGTTTAGGAAACAAAAATGGCTACCTCCTTTGTTTTTATTTTCTGATTTATCGTTTAGATCTTCCGAAAGCTCTAATAAGCATCATAGAGAAATAACAACCACTGATAATAGACACCGTGTGGGAAAATATGGATTTTTGGAATTCTCTGATACCAGCGGCCGTTTACCACAAGTGAGTCCTAGGTCTTTTAACAAAAGTCCTGACATCATATAACAATACGATGAATGTGTTCCCAAAGAAACTTTACGTTTTGCTGAAACAGATCTTTTCCGAACCTGACACTTGTATTTTAATACCTTCCATGGAATGAGTCTATCATATACGTAGCTCGACCAAATAAAAAAAGTGAGCATAACACTACTTTTCTAAATGAAAGCAAAGTACTCTCCATTGCCTAGACTTGTATAAAACCGTCGTACTTCATAGAAAAACGTCTAGTATTTTGTATTTTTTAGTTTATTCAGCTTTCTGACAAATGTTCAGCAGAAGCAGTGGCGAAATTCATTAATAAGGCTTACCAGCTTTCTCCTCCCGATTTCATTCTCTCCATCCAGACGGATTATATCGATATCCAGAAAAATCAAGAGATTGAAACCGAAATCCTACATGCTATTCGACGTGGTTTAGTTGAAACAGCAAAGATAACAAGTATTCAATTATATTAAGTTTCATATTTCCAGTATTCATATCTGTCAACATTTAGATGCATGGATTACGACGAATGGCATAAATCATGATATGAATCGCCTAGTAGGAGAAGCACTATGCACTCATGCTTCTGAAGACAATATTCCTTGCATCGCCTTCTGCAGGTGGCCATGGTCAAAAGGTATCTTTAACATCAACATTAATGTAATTCGTCATTTTCGACACAATATTTTGCATTTTTCATTAGATCAATGTCCACTAAAAAAGATCAAAGAAGAATGGACGCAGTCAACAGGGAACAGGGACGAAGTCTATTATCCTGAGACGGCGTATGCTAGAATAAGCCGCAAAGGGCAAGAGTCTTCACCTTCGCTGCCTCTGGTAATTATAATTAAATAAGGGAGGAAAATCTGTTTCTATTTGAATACAAATATTTTCATTTTTTTCAGGCGTCAGACGAACCATCTTCCATCCCAATCCACGAAAACAATCTAGGCAATTACAATTACAAGATAGAACCGAATCACACTCATTTTCTTCTCTTCGATCATAATTCAAGTGGCTTCGATGATATTGTGAAAAAGCGTCACGAGCTCGAAGTAGAACTGAGTAGCCAATTGAAGGGGTCAACATATTTATCTCATTCGTCTAGTAATTGGAACCAAGCTATCCCAATAGTTGTATTACTTCTTGATGGCAATTTTACAACGCTACGTGCACTCTGCAACTACTTGGAGAGTGGAACACCAGTCATCGTTGTTCAAGTATGAAATTATATCAATCATTGTCTCATATAAGTGAAAAGGCTTTCAACTACAGAACAGCTAGTCCCCAGAGAAGTAAAACGGAGACAAGGTTTCGGTTTATTCCATATTTGTTACTACCTGTGTCAGAAAGAGCAACATTTGATGATCTTTACCACTGTCTCCACCTTGTAGTCTACGTCGAGCAACTTATGAGAGTGAGGCTCCAACTTTTTATGCTTTTGCATTAAAATGAGCGAAAGAAAGAATAGCGAACGACAGAAAGGCGAAAAGAAAAGAGCTAGAAAAAAATGGCAAACGAAAAAATGACAAAGCAAAAATAGCGAATGAAAAAAATAGTAATAAACTTAATAGTAAAAAGAAATATCTATCAATGAAAATACTTGAAAGGCTTATTTTATCATAATGTTGACAATTTTGCTGAAAAAACTGTATTGTTTGCAAATGCTACTACTGATACATATATGGAAGAAATAAATAATAGTACAGAAAATATTTAAGAACAAGCTCATAAAACAATTTGTTTTT